GGACGCTTAACCGACTGCGCCACCCAGGCGCCCCTCATCTTTTTGTATTCTTAACGGGCTCAAGATCATGTCTCATATGTTAGTCCTTCCCAGAAATGCCCAATTTCTATACAGCTCTGCTTTGTATCACGGATACCACAAAAGTAGAAAAGTGACTGTGAATGAAGGCTGGCAAACACTTAAACGTAAAATCAATTGTCTAACAGTTTCTAACAACCTCTTCTTTAAGACCTCTATTCTGATACTCTGTTCAAACATTTTTTGCATCACTCACCTGCTGTAAACCCTGTGTCCCAGACACAGGTACTTGCATGATGGTTTGACCTTGTCCACCAGGGACAGCTTGGACCATGATGGGTTGGCCAGTTGATGTGATTAACTGGCCTCCACTGACCTGTACCATTAATGGCTGCCCCTGGACCTAGAATGAAATAAAATAAGAAACAATGAAGTAACATGAGACACAAAATGGTTTTCACCAAAAGATAATCACTGGAATTATTCTGCGGCCTTGGTGGAGGGGGAAAAGGTAGGAGAGACACCAAGGAAGTAAGTCTCAAGTCCTTGTCCTTAAGTTATCTTCTTCAAAAATACTCTGTCTTTGACTAAACGCCAAGTTGAAGACTTTAAGGTCAGATATAATGAAGTATATTCAGGGTCGTTAGGAAGTCTCCACAGATATAAGGCATTTATCATCAAGTACAGGCTAAATCCACACAAAGTACTTATCAAAATATTCAGACTATGTATCTTTTGAGACCAATATTCAGGAATAGTTTCTAGGGAAGGCTGGAGAGGAAGCAATGACGGGGGGTGGGGGGTGGGGTAGTTGATGGTGGTGATGGTGGCTGAGTGTAAATTCTAAATGACCTGGAAGGAATAAATCAAACTACGCAGCAGAGACTGCAGGAGGCTGGGTAGCAAGCAGCTCTGAACGCTTATGGAGAAGACCCTTTTTCTCCATAGTCTCTCAGGCATAAATGAAATACACAACTTCTACCCTCTTCATCTCACTCTGGGACTTCTAGTCCTATGGTTGTTTCAAGAGCCCACTAGGAAAAGGCCCAGAAATAGCTTCTGGTCAGTTTTCAATCTCTGTGGGAGAATTCCTCACACTGGACTCTGTGATATCTGCATAGCTGTTTCAGTTTTAACAGAAGCAGTGATAAATATGGGAATTACACACTCAAGTGTACCAAAAATCTCCCAACTTTCAAGCTCTTCGAGTAAATGGACTACTCTAGAAGTCAAGGCATTATACATGCTCTGTAACGTCCTGAGTCCCAATATAAAAATACCTAAATGAATGCATTCTGGAAACCAAAAAACAAGCCATGTTAGAAGTAAAATGGAATGTTCAAAAGAACAGCTAGAAGTCCAAAACTTTCATTTACAGATGCTATCTTTGTTTTGAGGAATTATTCGTAGCAGAACACAAGACTTTTCACATGACTAAAAGATTCATTCTTAATGCCACTGCAAGTATGTTTAAATAACAGTAATTGGTGAAAAGATCAATCTGCCCTAGATGAACCAATTAGATATTAAGGCCCCCTCCTCACCACCACCACTGCCAACACCAAATGTGTCAGAAGCTTCAGGAACGCTGAAATCCTAAGTTTTATAAACTGTTCAGAGAAATTCCACTTTACTTTTTAAAGGACTTTACAACCCGATTCTCTCATGTTTTCTCCTTTCCTTATCAAATTAAATTCCCTTTGCCACAGTCATGCTTGCATATACTCCATCAGAAAGGACTGTTCTGAATATTTATTACATGAATAACTGAGAGAAGTATTTAAAGTTCTTCAAAATAATGAGACCCCTAGAGGAAAGGTCTTCATCATTTCCATAAGGTGTCGCCATTTCTAAGAAAATCTACGTAAGTAAGAAACCCAAGTTTTAAGGCACAACTGTTCATAATTTTCTGACTACCCATCATCTTAAACTTCTCCCCTCACTGACATGCTAAACGTGTAACTGATAAACTGTTGGAAGATTCCAAGGAGCCCACTGTGTTTACGACATATGAGTGATTACAACGACACATGCATCAGACAAGAAGCCATACAGTTAAGAGCACGTTACATTCCCATTCCACAAATGGTTAATGGCAATACTGTTTTATCTGTCAAAAAGATGAAGCAAGCATGAGAAGCATGAACAACAAGCTGTTGAAGTCAGAGGTTCGAACATAGTTTGGGAGCACCTACAAGCTTAGCCTTTTGTGGCCTAATTTATGTTCCGAATGGACTGCAGGACATCACGAGACACGGTGGCAGGTGTGGGGCTGGGGCTGAAAGGTTAACGTAAAAGGATCGCAGCAAGGGGCATGTAACTGCAGGATGTTGAGCAGCACTAATGAGATGCCAGTTCTGCATTCTAGGTCCTACTTTGAATCATTTCCATTCACTGGAGGAAAAAAGGCAGGGCACTCAAATTTTGCCAATTTCTCAAAAATACAGTCATTTTAATCAAAGTAACGGGCAGACACAGAGAAGACTTATGCTTCTACTCTCGTTTTTACATAGGAACTGGCCAAAACATACCTCCGATTTTGACATTTAACTTGGCCATATATAACGTTAGGGGAACTGCACTGGTTAAGTAAGAGTTCTTATAGTGGCTATAAGACTTGAGACTTCTAGAAAGCATATGCCACCTCTGTCCAACCAAGAGGTATAGGATAGTCTTTGCAAATCTAATAATAAAATAGGTCATGGTTTCCCCAGGAAAGGTAGTGAAAAGGCAACAGTTAAGAGATTAACAAGATTCACTGATTAGATAAACCTTGCCAAGTACAATGCTTATTTTGAGCTGAGTTGCCCTTTTAATGAAAATAAAACGCCCTCTAACTCTAGGTATTTTCTGTTCCACTATAACACAAATTCACAAAAGTTTACTATGCAATCTGATTACAGAGCTTGAGCTCCAAACAGATTCTAATGCCACTTGTAAGAATTTCTTCGTGTCACTTACACCATTTCCTTGCCAGGTATCCCCAAAGACACACAGCAGCCAAATTCAATTTTCAGGAAATGGACACTGAGGTCACTACATGACTAGGCATGAAACATGAGGAAACTGGAATCTTATAAGCCTCAAAGACAAGTTAACAGCATCAAAGACATGCAATTGACTTTGCCATTCCTGCTTGAGACCCTACCACAAATAGCACCAGACGTGAGGACAGGAGAAGTTCATGCAGTGCTTACAGAGAATCAGAGAGGGCACCACTACCTGGAGGGTCTGGACTTGCTGGCCTGAGGCGGATGCCACCTGGGCCTCAGTCTGCAACTGGACAGCAGTGACACCACCCTGCTGCTGAGAACAGGAACAGGAAGAGCTTGAAATGTATCAGGAAGGAAATGTATAGGTCAAGACATGAGAACACACCTTACCTCTTACGGGAGAGGGAGGGAGTCTTCTTTGAACAGTCCCACCCAGCGGAGGACTTTCAAACTGTACAGACTCCCTATACCGAAGCTCTTTTGTTGTGGGTAGCAAGCAGGATTAAAGATATTAGCCCTTGTCCCCCGAGTGAAACTCAAAACACACTTCCATGACTCAATCATCAAAATAGTTGTCATCATTAACACAAAAATTTTTAATGCAACCCTTCCCCCCGGAAATAAGCATTGGATCCTTCTGCTTATCGTGATTTTAATGCTCCTTTTATTTCCTCAAATGAGTTCACAACCACAAAGTTATCAGGTTTCTATAGCTTTGAAGCTACAATGAAGAATTTCTGGGACTTAAATACAATCACCAGACAGAAAGAATGAAGCAATCACTGTGAACCAAAAGCATCTTCATGCTGGTCAATGCTCTCATGTACCCAAACTAAGATTACTTCTACTCAACTGGATTACCTGGGAAACAATGTTTTCAGTGATTTAACCTAATATTTATAACCTCTAATGGTTAAGTTCTAACAGAATAAGAATTTGTCCATCAGGGCACTGGTGTGAATAGAGGGCCCTTTGTGGAATCCCCTTTCCTAAGAAGGCGGTCGAAGGAAGCTGCCAGAGCCACAGCAGCTGTGTGGAAGGAAAGCCAGTGAAGGAATTTAAATAATTACTCTTTTAATCAAGAGTCAGCTCTTTCCTTTGATCATTAGATGGTAGATGTCCTACCATCTACTTTTCTCTATTCTCCAAGTTCCCTTTTGGAAACAAAACATTCCCAGTCTTGGCCTCAGGTCCAGTCAATGAGTGACAAATTTCTTTTCTTCGAGGGAGAAAAACAAGTAAACTTTTTACTAAAAGGAAGCCAGGAATGGAGCGTCAGAAAATGTCATCTCTGTATAAATTCAAGAAAGGAATCTATCTTAATTAGGAATAAAGCGGCAGGGAATTCCTTTCTAATATGAGCTTACCCATAAGAGTGGTTGTCTAAATATTAACCTCATGTTGATCTAGAGCTTTTCAAAATAAGCATCGTGGCAGATCGAATCGAAAACCAGTGGATTTCTTGGAAGTGGGCTATCTTGGTTTATCTACTGTGGCCGAAGCCTTAAAAGATCACAGGCTAGCTTCATCAAGAAAAGAAACAACAAAACTGAATCCAGAAAAAACGCAAAGTTCCAAATTTCCATCTGAGAACAGACTATTTTGACTTTTAGTAAAATAAAATGGGCAATTTCATATTAAATCAGGTTCCCGTAAAGAGCAAGTTCTATGTGGTTACAGACTGACTACAGACTACAGAGCTCTGAACACATGATGAGAGAAAGCGCAACAAATCCAATCTTCAAAAAGCACTTCGGCACAAGTCACCAGACCTATTATTCCTAAGATCTGGCACCTCTAAATCCCCACTTAAGCAGTGCCAGTATCGGCCCCATCGCTGTGCTGTTTAAAGCAGTTTTACGTCCATACCTGCTGCTGAATCTGTCCAGCCTGCACAACAATCTGCTCTGTCGAACTATTGCTGTTTGCTGTATACTGCTCCATGATCCCTCCAAGTTAGAATCCTGGCCACAGTGAGTTTCACTCTGGAGGTCCTAGAAGACTGCAAAACGCACTCCTATTAGAAACGTTGGGAAAGAAACTAAGTGAGATTGTTAACAAAAGCCTCGCCAGATGATTAACATCGATAACTTACTGCTGTGCTTCATTTGTAAGAAAACTGGGGAATAGGAAATGTTCATTTTGATATCATTTGTATCTACGATTACAGGGCACACTCACGCCAACAACATCATAATGCCATTTCACATGTCTTAAAAGTGCTTTTAGTCATTTCTTACTGGCAGCCTTACCTTTCAATACTACCAGTAGTGCAACACTTCCATCTTAGAAAAATACTCCTTAAACTACAGTGTCACTTTGTTGCAAGACCCATTTAACACTAGTTCCCAGGTCTGCACATGACTTCAGAGGAGAAACAGTTTCTTCAATTTATAACATACATTTGCTGCCTGCCAATACTATACCAAAGGGGTTACTCCAGTTCTCTACATATGGTCTGCAATTTAAAACTTCAGGGTTTATTGCTTAGTACGTCAATTACCCAGACCTGAAATCAACCATTTTGCTTATCAAAATCTTCATTAAGTAGATAGCTGGAACAAAGGCTTAGCGTTTTGCATTTTAATTCAGAGGAAGGAATAAGAAGTTATAGTAATGGCAAAAATGATGTTTACAGATTAAATAGAAGGAAAGTGTTATACAACATATTGAGGCTATGAGTTCCTCTAAAAAGAACTTAAGTTTCCCTCACTCTTGCATTTGAATGCCTAGTAATAGCCTACCCTTTATTATATAATTTTAATTCTCTTTATGGCAGTTTCCAAACCTATACAAGAGTAGTGAGATCATTAATGAACCCCACACAGCCATCTCCAACTCTTACCCATGCTCAATCCTGTCTCACACAACTCGTCCACTTTCCACTCACCCCTAAGTTACTTTGAAATAAATCCCAGACACTGTATTATTCCAAAATTCTGTGAACACTTCAGCATCTATCTCTAAAGAGTAAAGGCTCTTCTTTTGTCTTTACCAGTTTATCACAATATTGTCTCTACAGTATCATTTCAAACATTACAAAATTACTAAGTCTTTAATATTATCGAATATCCAGGCCTTGCTCAAATTTATCCTTCTCACAACCCTTATCAGTTACAGACTCTTCTGAAATAAGGACATGATTAGATAAATGGAAATATTTGAGAACCTTGGATAGATTTGATTCGAAATTTATTTTTTTTATTATTTTTTTAACGTTTTATTTATTTTTGAGACAGAGACAGACAGAGCATGAACGGGGGAGGGGCAGAGAGAGAGGGAGACACAGAATCTGAAGCAGGCTCCAGCCATCAGCCCAGGGCCTGACGCGGGACTCAAACTCACGGACCGCGAGATCGCGACCTGAGCTGAAGTCGGACGCTTAACCGACTGAGCCACCCAGGCGCCCCTTGATTCGAAATTTAAAATTATACCAACTGCCAAAGACTAATTCACCTTGGAAGTATGGGGAAGGTACAGGTATACATATAAGCAAAATGTAGATAAATCTTTGCCCCAATTTTTCTCTAGGCCTTCATATGTTCCAAAATTTGAATGATAAACTTATGTCAGCCAAAATGAACTGCAGGTTACATAAGCAAAGTGATGCACTACTATCCATAAATCCACACACGCTAGATGAGATTAATTACTTGCAAGCTGTCTCAATATGGTGTGAAAGAAATAAAATATATTCAAGTGCATGTGCAAGTATTTAGGAAGAAGTATACTGAGGTCTAACGTTCACTTTGAAATGCATCAAAAAATAAGATGGATTGATAGATGAACGGATAGAAATATCCGGTAAGTCAAGTATGGTACGACGTGAACAGCTGACTCTAGGGAATGGGTATGCTGGTGTTCATTGTAAAATTCTTTCAACTTCACTATATGTTTGGAAAACGTTTGTACTAAAATGTGTGCATAGCCTATTACTCATAACCAAAAGGGTAGGCAGAGTAAGAGAGCCATAAATAAGGACAGGATGACTATGCTGCCACAGCATGATGTTCTGTAGCCATATGGGAGCCAACTCACTCCCCTTGCTCTGATAGAATGCTCACCAAGCAACTATCTAATTTGGATTTACATACAGATATAGCAACAGAGAGCAAATGTGATCAGCAACACAAGTAAACTTGATGGTTATTTCTCACTGCATACGAACAAACTGACTGTCTGATTTTTATACCGGTTCACTCCTGAGCTAGTTGACGAAGTCAGCTCCTGAGAGATTCTGGGAACGGTACAGAAAATCGGGTTTTCAGCAGGACTAAGTGGCCCTGCCAGGGAAGTTAATGGTCTTCCCTGAACTATCTTGTCTTTAACTGCAGTACAATAGATTTATGTTTGTAAACTAATGACCCTTAGGTCATGATACAAAAGAGCAAAGGATTCCACTTACATGAAACCCTAAAAAGACCACAATAGCCCAGAGACAGAAAACAGGTCAGTGGTTTCCTGGGATTGGAAAGGGGGGAAGGGGTGAGGGTGGGAAGTCGATTGGGATATAGCATCTGAACTTTTTGGGGTGATGAAAATGTTTTATATATTTTTATTGTTGTGGTGGTTGCATAGGTGTATAAACTTGTCAAAGTTCATCAAAATGTACACTTAAAAAGATTACACTTTGTGTCTAAACTATACCTTAATAGTTGATTTAAAAATTTAGGATCATGAAGGAATGTCCTATTTCAATACCTCCCCCACCCAAATCCCATTCCCGTAGATTTTTTTCCTTCATCACTAATTTCCAGAAATTTATCAAGTACACGAGCAATAAATAGAACGTCGTGCAGATTTTCTTCTTACCTAGTTTATCCTGGCAATACAAACACTCTAATTTAAAGACTTTTCAATCCATTATACCTTGACGGGTAAAAAAGGAAGCAGTTCTCAGTCTAATTCTGTCTCACATTAATGAGAGATTCAGATTGCCGCATGATACTGAGACTGCTAATGGGGAGAACGTACCCAACTGGCTTCACTGAAGCCATGTGCTCCTATTACCACAAGCTTCAGTTAGCAAAACTGCAATATAATGTGACACTGTCTTTCCTCGAGTGCTTTTCTGCCCAAGCTTTGAACAAAATTAAGTCAGCCAGATTTACTCGGTCCAGCTCTTGATCCTCACAGTTTCTCCCTCAAAAGAGCGAGTGTGTCTCTATTTTGGCGAGCACGAAAATCCCCTTCTTTCCCAATTCAAGGTGCAGAACTCTAAATGTAGCTATTAGGAATCCATTCTATGTGGCTCTATACACGTTTTAAAATGAAAATTTCCCAAAACTCAACCATAAGCATGTGAAAAGCCCCTCAAAATTACCATACTTAATAATCACTACCAGGTAAAGGCTGTAACAGTGCTTCCAAAAACTTTTTTGACCACAATTCACAGGAAGAAACACATTTTCTATCACGAATCACCGCATACATAACAGAGGAAAAAAAAGTAACTGAAACAAGTTCTGTGAATACTTAGATTTGTGTACCCTAAGGTGCACATTAATATTTCCTATTGCATTATAAAAAATTAGCAGCACTACTCAGCAAATTGACTTCACAACTCAGCAAATGAGTCCTGATCTGTTTGTGAAAAGGCCAGAGAAAAAAATAACTGTCCCTTCCCTACTGTCCAAGAGATTTCTGGATTGGAGTTCCTAACTCACTCTTTGTCTCTACTAATGATGCACCACCTGCGAGACACCACCCTCAAGGTTTCAGAAATAAAAAGAAAACCCCGACGAAGATCCTAACTTCAAAGAGTCTTTAAGTTTGGTAAAGTAAAAATCTTTACTGGAACCCTAAGAGAGGAACAGGTAATATGGAGAACAGACATTTCTTCCACTTGGAGACAGTTAAGTCAAGGAAGTCTCTAGGAAAATATGGCATCTGATCTGGTTCAAAGTGTGAGAAGGATTTATAAATGTGATGATGTGGGAAGGGGTGGAGTACTCTAAATGAAGAGACAGCATAAAAGCAAGGACAGAGTAACTGCAGGATATGAACAACGGACTAAAAGCTCCATGTCAAGAGAAGAAAGCTAGATGCTAGAATATAGTCTCTTAAAATTCCAGGCAAAGAAGTTCTTCTGTAGACGGTGGAGACTCTAGAGATGTGTAACACAACAGAGACCAGACTCTAATTTATACACTGCCTTTTGGAAAGAAGTCTAGTGAAAGTGCTTGGTGGTTTTAAAGTGACTAGACATATCTGTTTTTACATGCCAAGGTTAAAACAATATTCAAAAAGCAAACATAAATGTTTTAAAAAATGCCTTATGGGGCGCCTGGGTGGCGCAGTCGGTTAAGCGTCCGACTTCAGCCAGGTCACGATCTCGCGGTCCGTGAGTTCAAGCCCCGTGTCAGGCTCTGGGCTGATGGCTCGGAGCCTGGAGCCTGTTTCCGATTCTGTGTCTCCCTCTCTCTCTGCCCTTCCCCCGTTCATGCTCTGTCTCTCTCTGTCCCAAAAATAAATAAAAACGTGGAAAAAAAATATTAAAAAAATAAAAAATAAAAAATGCCTTAGACATGGTGCCCACCTATTAATGTGGACAATGTCCAAGGATTAAATGAATTTAAGTTGACTTAAACATCTTTCATGGTAGAGATAAATAGTAAATAACCTTATTTACTACTTATCATCATCTTTAAAGATGATTTTAAAAAATGAAAACAAAAAAACCTGTCTCTGAAGTTTTCATAGTGGAGAGAGCACTGGATCAGGAGTTTTCTGAAACCTACCAGTTGTATGGCCTTAAATATGATTATAAAAACGGGCACCATAGGGGCGCCTGGGTGGCGCAGTCGGTTAAGGGTCCGACTTCAGCTCAGCTCAGGTCACGATCTCGCGGTCCGTGAGTTCGGGCCCCGCGTCGGGCTCTGGGCTGATGGCTCAGAGCCTGGAGCCTGCTTCCGATTCTGTGTCTCCTTCTCTCTCTGCCCCTCCCCCCTTCATGCTCTGTCTCTCTGTCTCAAAAATAAATAAACGTTAAAAAAAAAAAAAAATGGGCACCATATACTTAAGACCTCCTCTATGTGCCAGGGACTGTAGTAGGTGCTTGAGTAAAAATTTCTAAAGTCCTAGGAGAAAAATCTCCCTTTCTGCCCCAAAACTCAGCTGCTGTTATGGAGCAGAAGCTCACAGGTCAGAAACTTGTTTTTCCAACCCTGGGGAAAAAAAACACATACTTTCAGATTTCTTCCATCTGAACCTCCAAAAAATTAACTGCTTCTGAAAATTCTTATCACGATATACAGGCACTTTTACCAACTGGGCTTTCCAGCCTAAATTCTCATCAGAACTGCCCAGTGTCCTAGCCCATCCCGCCGGGTCCCCCACTTCCAATAGCACAGTTTGGTGCCTCCGCACATGTTCTTTTCTGTGAGTAGTGCTCTTCCATTCCTTCCTGTCTGCAGAAATCCCATTGTCCTCCAAGGCCGGTGAAAAGTGTGGCAACGCTGAGTCTTCCACTGAGGCTGTGGGTAGCTCACACATCAGTACTTTACAGAATTGAACTTGGCCTCATTGTACCGTTAGGATTAATAAGTCGTTCGCTTGTCAATCTCCAGCAGGGAAGTAAAGTTATTTACTATTTACCTCTACCTAATTCCTCCCCAGCACACAGATCGCTGCTTGGTACAAATTAACTGCTAGGGACATGGCTGTCAGCATTCTTCTTCTCACCCTAACGAAAATCCCACAACACTGTGAAGTTTCTACAAATATCCGCTTACAAAATGTTAACGTGGAGTTGGAAAGTATACAAAAATAAATAAATCAAAAGATGCCCATGGACTGAGCTAATGGGTCAAGCCTGACACATTCAAAGGGACACAAAAAGATGAAAGGAAAACAACGACAACAAAAGAATTCTACATTCCCAAAGAAAAGAGAATTCACGGGATGAGCAATGGAGAAGACTACTGATGTGAGAAACAAGAGTTGCTCCGGGAAAAGGAATGAGCAGGGCTGGCAATCTTCTAAGAGTGACGCTCCAGGCACCGAAGGGGCTGGCCAGCTGTACAGCCAGGACAAGAAAGGGAGACCGCTTGGTCGGACTCCAAGACGGAGGTGTGCGGTTCTGCCCCGGCGAGCGGGGCGGGGAGGAGAGGAAATGACGAGCCAAAAGGGGGTGGTAACGGCGGCGGGCCGGAGACCCAGGCCGAGCGTGCACAGAGGAGGGGCGCGTCGGGGCAGGAGGGTGGGCGCACTAACGGACCCCCTCCCCGGACCCGCGAGACGGCGGGGGCGGGCCAGCAGGGCGCCGAGGCGGGGGCGGGCCGGCTCCCTCTCCCTGCCGCTCTCCGGGCCCCGTGGCCGCGGCGCGTACCTTCCCCAGGCCTCACTCGCGACCCAGGTGGGCTGCACACAGGCAGACCCAGCTCTCGGAAGGCTGGGGATCGCGGGCCCTCGTGGGAGATTTCCCGTCCCGAAGGCCGCAGCGTGGAGGGTGCAAAGGAGGGCTTCAGTATGAAGCCCGAACGATCTGAAGGAGATCGCCAAGGCCCCGAGCGTGTGTGCACCTGCGTGTATGGGCGTTCGTGGCAGGCAGGCCCACCAACCCCGAGCCTGTGGCCTGACAAATTGGGCCTAAGGGCCGGGAGAATGCGGACGCATCCCCAACTGGCACAGCCACCCAGCAAGGGTCTGGACCCAGAGGTGCTCGCTCCCGAGAGCGCCATCCCCGCGCGGGGCGGCCCCCTGCAGGCCTCGGCCGGGAGTGGCCCGGGGCGCTCACAGGCCCTCGGCCGGGGCCGCCGGCCGCCCCGCTCGGCTAGGCTCAGCTAGACTCCCGGGGCTCGACGGGCGCCTGGGCCTCTCCTGAGTGGTCAGCGAGACCCGCCAATCGGGGCGCTGGGGCCGGCTCTGGGCCGCTGGATATTGGCTCCTCACACTCACCGTGCCTCGCTCCCCCGGTTCGCTGCCCGCGCTGATTGGCTCCAGTACCGGACCCCGAAACCCAATCAGAGGCTCCAGCCGCCGCTGCCGCCGCCACTGCCGCTGCCTCGCAAAATGGCGAACCCGAACAAAGGGGAATCGGGCCTCCCTCCAACCGCCTCGGCGCAGGCGCCCCTGAGACCACGCCCCCTAACCCCAGCATCTGGTTCACCCCACCCCCAGTTGAGGGAGCATCGCGCAGGCGTTCCCTGGAGCCACGCCCACTTTCCTGAGTCGACACCATCTCCAGCAGAAGGAATACGCAGGCGCCTTCTGGACGCGCCAGATCCTTGAACTCAAACACCGCCCTAAACATAGTACTACGCAGGCGCTAACTATCTTCTTTGCCAACTGCCCACCCCCTTCTCTGCGGTGGCTGGAGACACACCCCTGGGGCTAAGGCGCAAGCGCCGTTCTTCCCCACTCGCGGCGGGCTGTCTCGTTACGCATGCCCGGGCGGCGGCGGGACTTTCCACGGATTTTACCGCCGGAAGTTCGGCGGCCATTACCAAAGAGTGCGAGTTCGACTGGCTTGCTAGAGAGGCTTGTTTCCGCCCCGCTCCCGGGTGGTGGGCGGCCATTTTAGGTGCGTGCAATTAAGGGCTGTGGCTGGATTGGTTCTGTGTCTGGGTTCGTCGGCTGCTTCCCACCTACCAGGGCTGGATTCGGAGCCCTTCCCCGCGGGGCGGGACTTCGCAACGGCCGACTCCTTTCCAGGTGGAAGGGTAACCCCGGTATGTTGGGGCTTTGAGGGAGCCTTCTCTCTCCTTCCCACGGGACTCTAGGACAGGCCCTATTCCCTCGCTGACCTGCCCTAGGGTGGGAGACAGAACGGGAGGCCTCTCTAGACTCCTTCCCCGTCCCCCCGCCACGAGCAGATGGGGGCGAGCCTTCCTTGAGAGGCCTCCTTCCCTCTCCCCGCCTGCGGTTCGGGGGTACAACTCCCCTGGTCCAGACACTCCTCGGTTGCTCAGCGGGATGTGGCCAAGTCCCTCCTTTTGTCTCGTGTGCCAGACCCACTGGGGAAGTACTTTTGGTTTTGCAGAGAAGAGACAGCCCTGAATCCGCCTTTCCCGGGCGCGGAAAAAGGAGGAGACGAGTCGTAGGGACCGCCTTTCCTTCCCCTGGCCGAGCGGGGCGCCCCCAAGGAAAGCGCGAAATGCGAGCGGGGCCCGGCCGCCTCCAGACCTAGCCATCCTTCCTCATTCTTGCCCCAGAAGAATTTTGTATTACTTTATAGAGCCTGAACGAACTCCCATTCAGCGATAAATGGTGGGGGAAGAAGACTACCAAGTGGGTGGTCAGGGAATTTGAATATAATATGTTCAGGCTGCCTAAGCATTTTTCCTTTTCCCTTCTCGTAGCTGAAGAAACACCTAAGTTCTGGAAATAGCGACTCAGTATCATGGCCGGCAGCCCTAATGAAGATCCAGAAGGAAGCAGAGTGCGTAGCAACTATTAACTTATTGGTGAACTGAAATTCAGAATAATTAAGGTCAAAAGCATAAACACTTTAATTAAAGCCATAATTGAATTGTCTTCCTCCCTCCCCAGCTGATTTGCTTCAGAAAGGCTGATACAGTACGAGGCAGAGATCATGATCACTTTTCTCTTACACATGCTTTAATTTGTTGTAGTTAACTCCTTAAATTCTGCAGCTTTGGTTTTATTTATTTTTTAACGTTTATTTATTTGTTTCGAGAGAGCGCGCGCGCACGGGTGCGCATCCCAAGCAGGCTCCACGCTGTTTTTGCAGCCTGGGGCTCAGTGTCAAATCATGAGGTCATGACCTGAGCCGAAATCAGGAGTCCGTGTCTCAACTGACTGAGCCACCCAGGTGCCGCAGCAGATTTGGTTTTAAATCAAGGAGGGGCAGTGGTGGGAGACACAATAAAGGAAAATGAAAGAAATATCTTAGTGTTTTTCTGTATCAAATAAAACCTTTCTTTTCCCTTCTTCACATTTTAGATCACTTATGTGAAAGGAGACCTTTTTGCATGCCCCAAAACAGACTCTTTAGCCCACTGTATCAGTGAGGATTGTCGAATGGGTGCTGGGATAGCTGTCCTTTTCAAGAAGAAATTTGGAGGGGTGCAGGAGCTGTTAAATCAACGTGAGTTTTGAAAAACAGCTTTTCTCGTCCGCCTTGGCTAGACTGTCTTAATCACCTGTTACATTTTAATTATTAGACAGGATATACATGCAGTGGTTCCCAACCACTGAGAACTTGAACTCTTCAGATTAAGAGTTTTGGGTCTTCATCACACCAAACTTGAATTCTCATAAACGTTTCTAATCTCTTCCTCTGTCATTAAACTTTGTTGATATTACTTCAGTTTTCTGAAACTTTTAATAACAGAAGTGCTTAACGAAGTTCATAGATGTTAACTAGGCATTCAAGATCCTGTCTACCCATATTTTACTTACTCCTCAAAGAGGAGTTTAAAACCTCTTCCTTACGGATCGTTCCCATCACTTTACCAGTGATTTTAAACCAGAGACAGGAGTTAGAATCACATGCAGAGCTTTGGCAATAGTTGCACAGATCACGGTCCAGGCTTATCGGGTCGGAGACTCCACTGGTGATTCCATTAAAAGTTTATACTGCTTTTTATTGTAGTTCTTTGTAAACGGGACACCTTCCCTTCATTGAAAGCTCTTTACCAATTAGGAACTTTTACACATCTCTGTGCTCCATAATGCTTAACACAGTAACTCTTTATATGTAAAAGAAAAAGTTATTAAAAGTTTTTTAAGTGAATAAGTAAGGGTGTATTTGAAAATATGGGCAGGACGGGATAAGAGGAAAACAAGACTGAGAAAACGGATAAGAAAGCTGGAAGTTAAGGAAGGCTGATAAGAATCAAAGTGTTAACAGAGACCCTAGGTTTCTTCAGAGTTGAAATTACTGTTTAGTACTGAAGTCAACTCAAATCTGTAAAGATTTTATTTTAAATTGAAGAATGCAAATCGGTGTTGTTTTTTTAAATACCTTTCTACTATTAAATAACTTTTTTGTAGAAAAGAAATCTGGAGAAGTGGCTGTTCTGAAGAGAGATGGGCGATATATATATTACTTGGTAAGACGAGGGTCAGTTTTTACGGTGTTCTAAGGACTGGATGTGGGCTGCTGCATTTGTGTTGCTCGTGATGTTCCGTTCTAGACAGACAAAGATGGCCACAACTTCTGATCCATGCCAGCCCAGATCCAGTGGTGGTGGCTATTGGGAGCACTGCATTGGGAAGGAGCACGAGGCTGCCTCCCAGCTCCACTGTGACAACTACCAAAAGCCTGTGTTCTAAGACTTGGAAAAATTAGGGATGTCCCCCGTGCCTTAATTCTTTCCTAATTATGGTGAGATAGAAACATATCTCAAAAGATGGATATCCCAAAGGAGTTTTTCTTTTGTTCTTCCCTCTCAAATGCAGTGCCTAGTGTTACTTAGCTCTTTTCCTGCCTTCTGCCTCAATGTGGGATTCTTCCACTGTCCATATGTCCTTTAGGCCCTGGAAGGAGTGTGGCTGCTTGGTGATGGTGCTGAGCGACTTAGAGCAGCCAACCCACTACAAGTCTGATGTGGATAGCACACTGAACGGGGACATGCCTTAAGCCCTTGGGATGCTGTCCTTAAGGTCGATGTGACTTCCAGTCTTGTTTGGAACACTACCAGTTTCTCTTTGTTCTTTATAGAGAAATGAAAAGCAAACAACTGTGGTTTCTAAATAAATAGACTTAACAGGAAGTTTTTAGGTGGTATGGGTTCTTTCTTGTTACAGATACATTGCTTATCTCTTGGAAGTGGCACAGAGACTTTGACCTACCTTGTTTAAAAACAATAGACAATAGGCACGGCCTGCTAATCTCCTGGGCTTCTTGGGAAAAGGAAAAGTTATTACATGGTGCTCTCTGGGTTTCTCAGGCCCTGTTTAGTGGATTTTCCTGAGGGCCTCCCATAACTGGAAGGGACAATATGAGATTTGTCCTGCTCTAAGGAATTCTGAAAGTATATAGTTTTTTAATGATCAGGATGTTGTGAGAATGTGATGGCTTTTCTTTGGCTATCATTTTGGACTAATGGAAGTTTTAAATTCATTCTTTGTACCCAGATTACAAAGAAAAGGGCTTCACATAAGCCAACTTATGAAAACTTACAGAAGAGTTTAGAGGCCATGAAGTCCCACTGTCTGAAGAATGGAGTCACCGACCTCTCTATGCCCAGGCAAGGAAATCCAGGGCCCCGAATGAATACTTGTAATCGAGTGGTGACATTTGCTGTCTCACCAGGAGACAAATGACTTGAAAGCCTAACTCAAAATACAGGCTTAAAAGTGGACAAATTTAAAAGCTTTTTAACATCACCAGTGAACCAGTTGTCAGACCTCAGGCTACGTTTTACCCATTTCTTAGCCTGTGTTGAATGAATCAGAATAATTAAAACACACAGCCTGCTTAGTCGGGAGGGCATGTTGTTGAGTCCTCTCTGTTGAATCTGGACATCTTCTATCTAAGGCTGAGACTCTGTTCTTGAAGGAGTAAAAGCTTAAGAACCAAATCTGAGCAATTGTGATTTTCTTCTGGGCCACTTCAGGTATCCCAAGTCTGTTAATGTGGTACAGAAAAAGTTGTAAATTATCACTGCCTTCTAATCTGCATGCTTGTTTTGTAGTCCATGTGGGTAGTAGCCAGAGGATACGTCACTTATGTAATGTCTTAGACCCTAGCTATTGGGAACTTAAGGGAATGACATTGGGGGTTCAACATGCTCTTTACTTTCATTTTGGGAAATAGGCTTGGGGTCATTTCTCTTCCTGTCAGTCTAGTTTTTAGTCAGTGCTGACCATGCATGCAGGTTTGCTCCAAGCTCCACGTTAATTATAAATGTGGCTACAAGGTCCCTCATCTTACCTTGGGCTTTAATGTATTCGTGACTTATGTATCAGAAATTGTTGGGTGTTTTTATCACAGTTTTTTCAGGGATTTAATTATGTGAAATTAGCAATATTAAGTCTTCTTTTTTTTCCTGTAGGGATATTGAGGATCAATAAGGTAACATCTTAGAAGAAAGGTGCCAGGTAGTAGTAGAGTTTTATGGGCTGATTGATGTTTCACCAGGGTGTTGCAAAGACTGAAATGCAATCAGCTCAGGACTTCCCGACATTTTATTTTGATTTCCTTTTTGCAGAGATCCTGTCCTTTGTCCTTCTTTTTACCTTCCTTCACCTTCCATTCCTTTATCATAAGCGTATTTTAAAAATACCAGCTAGTTTTTATCAATAGATCTAGAAGGATAGTGAGGTTCCCGTATCACCGCAGTTATACATTTTCTAAATGTAGCCTCAAACAATTGAGAAGTGGTACCTTATTAGGCAAAAGAGAAGTGACAGCTATTGGATGTTGGGGCTGTCTAGGAACAGCCTTAGGTGACTCACAACAGGAATTAACTTGCGGACTCCCGCCATAGCTGCCTAGGTGTGAGGCCAGATCATTTGTCTTTTTGCTTTCAGTGGGTACAGCCTAAGGGAAGTGGAAAGAAGTGCCTTCTCAGATAGCTTCATCACAACCAGCGGAGATGTTTTGTCTTTTTCAGGATTGGATGTGGTCTTGATCGTCTGCAATGGGAAAACGTATCTGCAATGATTGAGGAGGTGTTTGAAGCAACAGACATCAGAATTACTGTGTACACACTCTGAACAGACGGGCGCTTTGGATGTGTCCACATTCTCCTGTTTTAACCCCTACTGGACCATAGCACTGGGTGAACTGGCCTATTTAAGTCCTCGGTCAGGGGAAGTTTCATGTGAAGTAGTCTGTGTCACAGGCCAGACTTGGGTTACTGTATTCTCATGATTGGACTGGAACTGTGGAGGAGGGATTGCTTGGGAAATGATGCTGTGATGTTTTTTGCAAGGTAAGGAGTAGATGGCCTGATAGGAGACAAGGAAACCGGATGTTGGGCCTCTGACCCCTGTTTCTCCGGGATGCTTCCTGACTTGTTTGGCTTGCCACTGGGTGGCAGCATTGATTATACTTCTCTGCTGTTTAAGAGAAATTTCAGGAAGGATGAACATTTCAGTTAATTTTCCATCTTTTGTCATTTGTGAGTTTGCTTAGTATTAATCTAATGTCACGTTCATCCTAGGAGAGAGTGATGGGTTTTGTTTTGTTTAAATTACAAAGATGAGTGTTATGTTGTTAACAAGATATTTGTGGTGACAGAAATGGAAGAATAAATATCTTTTGGGGTCTAGTAAGGTTCTGTACACACATCTGTTGTTCTGGACCTGGGTAATGGAAGATTCGCTTGAAAATTAATTGGGAGAAATCAGACAAAGGGTCCAGGGGGAAGAGCAGCAAGGTGAGAAGAAATCAGAATGGACAAGAACTGTGGGTCAGTATTTCTGGAAAGGAGGGTTTAGAATCCCTTCCTGGTGAACTCTTTCTTCTTCCACCACAAAGCTTCTGTGACTGAACGTGTATGAATTCAGCCATGAAACAAATGAGGTAACGTATAGTAAATGCCTGCTGAATTGCTCAGGGCAGAGTAATGACTCAACAAATCAGCGGCTCTCAACAAAATCCTTATGAATCTTTTTAAGAAAAAGGCCCACTTCCTTCAGAAATTCTAGTTTGGTAGTTTGGGGTGGGGTGGAGGGCTGGCTATATTTCTTTGTGCTTTTAAGCAGCAGAAGGTTGTGGTATGCAGCCAGCTGGAATGGAGAATAGTAAATATTAGTCCCCTTTTCTTTCTAAGCTAAGAGAGCACCACTTTATCCACTCCTGTGCTCATGGTGAAAGAGTATGTCCCCGGATTCAGTATCCAAGGTGTTGGGAAAACTAGTGGAATTTTCTGTTTTACCGTTACTATGGTATTAAAACAAGGGCACCTGGCTGGTTCAGTCAGTAGAGCATGCAGCTCTTAATGGCAGGGCCTTGCATTCAAGCCCCACATTGGGCATACAGCCTACTTGAAATAAAAAAAATTAAAGTTAGGGGTCCCAGGGTGACTCAGTAGAATGTCCCGACTCTTGGTTTTGGCTCAGGTCGCGATCTCATGGTTCTTGGGTCTGAGCCCCACATCACCACAGAGTCCGCTTGGGATTCTCTCGTTCCTTCTCTCTCTGCCCCTCCCCCGCTTGCATGCTGGCTCTCTCGCTCTCTCAAAATAAATCCGCTTTTTTTAAAAAGTTAAAATAGCGAGACCAACTATTGATTTTCTCCCTAGAGTGAATTCTGGGTCTGTCCTGGGACTTGCTGCTTACTCAAGTATAAAAGAACTGGTTTTCAGAAGGGGGTTGCTGAAACACTATGGAAACACCAGTTAAATATATAATCTTTGTACTTTAGACTCGTGTTCTTATCACACTGCAGCCTGATAGGAGGCAGCAGTTTCAAAAAGTACTTCACTTTTGTATCTCTGGAACAGACAAGTTCATGTTGTTGGGTAGGGGTAGTGCAGGGCCAAGTTCATTGTTAGGCTTTCTTGAAGCTTCACTTCTGTCCACATATGGTAAAACCGAAGGGGGGAAAAGAAATGTCTAAATACAAAACACAGAATGAGAGTGGGATGGTAAGAGCAAACTTAGAATGAAAGTATTTTGTTTATGCAAATAAATCTTTGCTTTTGGCTCAAAACATTGATTTTGTAGGCTTCTACATTTAAAGGAATTAGGGTTAATTTTTTTCATGGAGTATGAGCCTTGATGATTCTTTGAACAAAGACTAGTCTTGTGGAGGACTGGCTGTAAGTGGAATTCTGGGGCTCAGTAGGGATACGGTAAAGTGCTTTGTCATTTGCATATAGTCTTGGGGTCAAATTCTGACAATTTATCACACTTGAAGCTTGGGAAGAAGAGGCATGGTCTGATAGAATGAGCACATTATTCCTGGAAACCTAGTTAGAGTTTGGCAAACACCCAGAAATTCACATGTGAAATTTTGCTTTTCCATAAGACTCAAGCCTTTTAAGAAACGAGACTTGACACCATCCTGCCATCACCATTGAGTACCACATACCAACTACTCCTACAGTATGTGTGTCTGAACATTGAAATCCTACTTATCCTCTCCTTAAGATGCTAATTGCTTATTAGTTGGCAGTCGGAACATGGATATCTCGTAAACAGATTTCCCCTGCCTTTGTTTCACCCTCCGCCATATTCCTTGTCTTCAGAGAAGGGAAAAGGCACTCAATTACAAGTAATCACAGAAGAAAATACTGGATAAAGGTCAAGACTGGGGTGGGAAGTCCGCCTAGGAGAGTTAGTATGCTGTGTTGCCTGGACAAGCCCTGGATTAAGCCTCCCTTCCACTTTCTAATATCCTGGCTTGGCTCATAGCCTGGGAACGTCCCTATTCCTAGGACTTGTTCACTGTACATAGTAACTTCTAAATGTCCAAGTTCCCTAAAAAACCTGGTCACAGAAAAACCACACCACTTCTTTTATTAATGTTGCTATCTTTCTTTAAAAAAAAAAAAAAAAACAAATACACATCCGGACATATTTCAAAGATCTGCACAAACCTTGGGTCTGAGGCTCTTTGCCTCAAAGCAACCCATTTGGGGGAATAATTAGGCCCCTCAGCCCCACAGATGCCTGCGGCCCATATACAGTTGTCATTTTCCTTGCAACTCACTTTTCCCAAGAGCAGCCTTAGAGAGAGCCATGGCTTAAATGATTTACAGCATGAGCAGTATATTTAGAGTCCTTGGAGGGCCTGTGCAGGAGGATTGGTTGGTGTCCAATGTTGTCCAGCTCAAGTGGTATTAGGAAGTCAGACATGTCCCAGATGGCCATACATGTCACTGCTGTCTCCTGGTGGCAGCAGGCAGACCTTAGTGAGAAAACAAGAAAGCATGTTACTGAGAGCTCTGCTGGCCCCAATGAAGAGTTTCTTTTGAGCTGAGGTCTCTGTGTGCCCTCCCCAGCAATCTGAATTTCTCCCCCAGTTGCCTGTGATTTCCACTGTTCCCAGTGTTAGGTTTGCTCTATTCATGTTTTGGTGTGGTTCACACAGGGAAAACCCCAGAAGATCCCTACTTTAATTCTATTCTCTTGAGTTAGATACATGGTTAAGTCCTATTCTGTCATTTTTTTTTTTTTTAAAGATGGAATAAGAAACGTAGGGCAAATTTTCTTTAACAAATGCCCATTTCTTAGTATTCTAATTAAGCGGAGTTGTTCTTTAGGGCTTTTAGATTACAACTGGATTTCATGCCTTTTTTTTTTTTTTTTTTTTTTTTTTTTTTTTTTTTTTAACTGGGTACATTTTAACCTTTCCCTTCAGGAACATGAATAACTCAAATACAGTACAGAGAAGCATGTTAACGGGTCCAGATAATACGGTCATGTACACTAATGGAAAGAGGCTTATAATGTGGAACATGTCCAATATTTTATTTTAAAATAATTTGACTTGGAAATGGACTTTCCCCTCAAACTGATTTATCTATTTTACTTCCGTTTAGATTAGCGTAAGATACAACCCTCAATTATCCAAAATTAAAAGCTCCTTTTAATCCTCCTTGAAATGCTTACTTTTTATAGCAGATTTAGCTATCTAATTATTTAACTTAATGGAAAAAACTACGTGTGTGCACAGGTGCGCGCACATGCACACACACGCATCTCTGAAGACTTGCTGGTTAGGCAGCTGGAAGAAGTGGCCTGTGACTCGGAAAGGCATTTACGAAGAAAGTATACTATAGTTAAAATTAAGCTACCATTCATCATTCTGGAGTCTGAGTAGGGTTTATACTTACAGTGATAGCACCTACACTAATATAATTCTCAAGGTATTTAAAAGTTTGGTATTTTCAGAAGTCACCCTTAGAAATCTATTTTTATCACTCGCCACCACTAGAGCGGTGTCATATTTTATGTGAACAGAATACCATGTTGCATTACGTGACCATATTCTCACTGAATTCAATGGGCCCTGCTTTTTGTAACAAATGGCCAAAAATCATGTCCTCTCGGATTGGCAAATGCTCAGCTGGAGAATTATCAGGCACCCTGTGTGCATGTCTAATAGCAGACGTCTGGCAACATCGAGCTCCAGAACATTGATATTTCCAAAAACGTGTCTATGAAGCCACATGTTCTCTTAAGAATATTAAGGGTGAGAGACACCAAGAGTAAATTGCATAGCTTCATAGAAGCTTCATCGCTTCATAGAAGCTTCATAGAAGCATGCTGCATTCGCATTTTGTTAATATGTGAATTGTTCCAGAATTTAAGTTGGAGAAGAGGGTGGTAAAGACCCTTTCTTCGTTTCTGGAGGATCTTGATCAGTAACTCAGGCCTTGTGAAGGGACTTGGTTATAGCATTTCTGCGGGAGCAAACTAGATCAGACCGAACTCAAAAAAAGTTAGCAAAGGATCTTTTACCCTCTTTCCTGAGGGTAATCGGCCTGTTTCTGTGAGAGTCTAATTTACCCTCAGCAAGAGGCCAAGTTGGCCTTCATTGTGTCCTAATTATTTGCCTAAATAGCTAATCTTTACTTCCAGTTCTATCACATCTTGATGTTTGTAGGAGGCTACTTCTGAGCTGCTGTCTCATTTACAAACATCTTTTTAACCCTTTCTGTATTCCTGCATAGAGGAACTTGTTGCTGTGGTATCCCCATTCCTGAATACAGCATTTTTCTATGAGTTCTGCTGAGGTCTTCTCAAAGTAAGAAAAATGTTCTTGTGTTGTATATTCACACCGAAATTATTGGTCTCCTTCAAGGCCGAACCATTTATTTGAAAACATGAAAGCCTCTCTGGCAAAATAATAATAAGTTGAATACAAATCCGTTTGGGGACTTTCAAAAGTACCCCAAATGAAAAAATTACATTTGAAGGAATGAAAAGCCTACATCACAGGACAATGGAATGGTAAGATTGCAATTGGGGGTGGGAACAGGGCCTCCAGAAGATGTCCGGAGTCAGTAAGTCTGGACTCAACGCCAGTGGGAGCATGCTTCTTGAGGGACAGTCTGACCACGGCAGGTCACTCGGTCTCACCAAAGCTTGAAGATTCCTGTCAACCTTTGAGTATTCCAAAGTTCTGGGGAAAGTTCATTTGATACAACAGGGTAGGAACGAAAAGGGTTTAGGGAGACGAATTTGCAGTTAAGAGAAAAGGAAAACTTGGGATCTTCTAAAATGTGTTTACGGGGCGCCTGGGTGGCTCGGTCGGTTGAGTGTCCGACTTCAGCTCAGGCCATGATCTCACGATTTGTGGGTTCGAGCCCTGCGTCGGTCTCTGTGCTGACAGCTCAGAGCCTGGAGCCAGCTTCGGATTCTGGGTCTCCTCTCTCTGCCCCTCCACCACTCGTGCACTAACTCTGTCTCTCAAAAATCAATAGATGTAAAATGTGTTTACAACCCCCCAGAGCAGAGAAGGGAAATTCGTTCCTGGCCAGGTCAAACCTCCCGCACTCTGCCACCTGCCCACCAGCCTTCGACCCAAGTTCAAGGCTAACAAGACCACAGGGGCGCCGTGACTCACGTGAGGCTGGGCCCGGCGGGCCTACTTCAGGATGTCCGCCAGCTTCTCTTCGTAGTACAGGAAGTTCTCCTGAATGTCCTCCCAGGGCTCAAAGGCCTTGGACTCGCCCTCTTCCTGCTCCACAAAATTCTGCCAGACGTACTCGAAGTCCTGGGGCTTCATGATGCGCAGCCGGCAGCCGGCCTCCTTCAGCCTCCGCAGCGCGGCCTGGACGTCGGGCTCCTCCCACATGAAGAGGCGCCCCACCAGGATGAGCAGGCGCAGGTTCTTGGTCTTGCCGAGGGTCCGCACGATGCGGTCGGCGCAGGCGGCACAGGGGCTGGACGACACGTACCAGGTGACGTTGTAGCGCACGGCCGGGTCGCAGGCCGGCAGGATGGTGTTGAAGAAGGCCTCCTCGGCATGGGCGGCTGCGTGCTCGTCCTCCAGGTACCCGCGGGAGGCCTGCACCTGACCCCCCTTGCCCTGCGCTTCCACCACGTAGCAGAGGAAGGTCTTGTTCCGCCCGGAGCTGTACTCCACGTTCCGGAACTGAAACTTAAAGAAATTGACGGGCAGCCGCTCCCTGTGGGGCGAGAGGGCATAGGGGACAGGGGAGAAGAAAGAAGGATGAGCGCTTATGTCTAAGAGCAGGTGGCTCTCCAGCCTCGGTGCCTCAGAGACACGTCGGCTCTCCTGGGCAAAGCCGGCCTTGCCCAGGCTAGCATCAGCGACCACACGGCGTGAAAGAATTCAGAAAGGTGTTATCTGGAGCAGGGGAGAGAATTTGGAGGTGTGCATTCAGGTCACCCCAATAGTGAGGGTCTCCAAACGCCCCACCATCCCTCCAACACACAGCACGCGCCTGCGTTTCTAAAGCAGTCACTCTCTCGCGGGGGGCTACATAGCCCAATCACTCAGAGGACTCTACACATGTCAGTGCCTGGGCCCCATGCCAAGGCAATGAAATCAGAAGGTCTGGAGGGAACCCACGCACCAGCATTAAAAAAACAAACAAACACACCCTCCAGATGATTCTAATAGGTGGCAACGTTGGAAAAGCAGTGTTCAAATAGCAATCTTACAAAGTAGCAAGCATGTAAAATTTCTCCTGATAGAGCAAGAGGAAGATTTTGCGCAACATTTCCTGCTTCCATTTCTGAAGATTTTGCGGAACATTTCCTGCTTCCATTTCTCCTCCTTGTCACTCATGGCTGTTGCATCTTGGTCCTGGGCTGGCCCACAACGCACAGTGCCCCCCTCTCCAGGTGACTTTCTCAAGTCTGTCTTTTCCCTCAGGTGAAGGAGGGTTGTCACACAATAAGTGTCCAAGAAGCTTTTATCTTTGAGGTCAGGCTATCCAAGAGTACCTTGATAGAGTTTAGGTTACATGTAGTATTGAGTCATGTCAAAGTCAAAAAAGACTTGGGGGATGCCTGGGTGGCTCAGTCGGTGAGGCGTCCGACTTCAGCTCAGGTCATGATACCATGGTTCATGAGTTCAGGCCCTATGTCTGGCTCTGTGCTGACATCTCAGAGCCTGGAGCCTGCTTCGGATTCTGTGTCTCCCTCTCTCTCTGTCCTTCCCCCACTCACACTGTTTCTCAAAAAAGGAATAAATGTCAAAAAAAAATAATAATAATAATAAAAAAGACTTGGCCTCTACCCTCCAGATGCTTATAAGCTAGCAGCTCCACTCTGGCTAAGACAGCTGAGAGCATTTTAATTTTAAATGCACAGGGAGCCATGGAGGACAAGGCACCAAGGTTCTTGAATGTTTAGCCCTGATTTAGGCGGCAGCAGAAAATTGTTACAGCCTCTTGAGTAAAGAAGGACGTAATAAAAGTGACGTCCGGGGTGGCTTTAGGTAGATAGTGAGGCTGGGGAAAAGCTTGAAATTAAGCAAGCCCACTTGGTGTCTTAGGATGCCAGACTTGGTGATGACTATGTTTAGGATGAGCAGGAAATGAAATCAGCAGAAAAAGACCGGGTTTGGGGGAAAGTTTTGTAGTTAAAAGAAGGAGAGAGAAAAGGAAAGGGGCTAGAGAGGCATCGGGGGCTAAAGGGGCATCAGAGTTGATTGTTTTTATCTTTGTGTGTCTGCATGTCTTTCTAGAATGGGGAAGCCTATTGTAGGTTGGAGGGTCAAGGAGATGACGAGCGTTTAACAGGAGAGATTGAAATGTCAGGAGACGAGGGGATTGAGTACTGGCTTGGAGAGGCTGAATGTTTTCTTTTTTTTTTTTTTTTAAAGTAATCTCTGCAGTTGCCCCAAAAGATACCCTGTGGCAACCATGAACTCTGCTGTTACTGCCCTACATGCCTTCCCTTTCTAACTTCCAGGGCTACAGGGAAATCCCAGATGTCCCAGGGCCTTGTCTTCTTAGGGCTAAGCAGCCAGGTGCCAAAGAGCTGAAAAAACATGAGCTGTTTGCCTGCTGTATTCCCCACCCCCATCGCAAAATTTGCTCCACCCAAGTTTCTATATCTCTTGCTGTCAAGTTCAGTTTCCACTGTGGAGATGGATGTGTTTGAGGACCTGGCCCCAGGATTCTTTTGGGTACTATACTTAGCTCTCTAAACCCCTCTGTCCCCAGTCAAATGTGTTTATTATTTACTTAACATTTGGGGAGAATGGATGGCCTAATGAATGGTTCTCCTCTCCTATTTCAATCCCTGTTGGGAATTCATTTATAATGAGCTCTCCCCAATGAAAGTCACCCTTCAAGACCATGCCTAGATTTTACTGGCTGCTAAATGGTACCTTCACTTTCCAGAGTGGATTTTTTTTTTGTTTCTCCTGAGAAGCACAAAGCCTACCTTCCTTGTCCAAACACTTGATGCTCTTCAAGGCCATTTGCCAGACACTCCCCTGCCCCCAAATCTATCCAGAGCCAACCGTATGGTGGATTCTCAAAACCCTTGGAAGTATTCACAACTGTGTGTCTGGTTGGGGGCTTCACCAATAGCTGCCTGTGTGGCCCCTTGGGTTTCCTTCTGGAGCCCCCAAAAGTGTTGCTCCAACTTGGCCAAATGCAGCGCAGTGAGAGTATGAACTTGGCCCAGCATATAGTTACGAGTTGGCTGGCTAGTGTGAGGCTGCTATTTCTCCCAGCCTCTCTTAAGCTCTGATGATTTCCCCTCCTCCTCTTCCCTTCACAGGAGGAGAAGACCCAGAGAAACCTGAAACCCAAGGGAGAGGAAGAAAGTTCACCTCTCTATAAATATCAGTTTCCCACCCCTCTGGCCAGCAGCCCAATAGCATACTCTGTGCTTCAGCAGGGCCTTCTGGACTAGGTGCCTAAGGAAGGGAAATGCTTTCAAGGGGCAAAGGAAAGTCAATATTGAAATAAAAGTGGGAGTGTGCGGGGGGGAGCTCCTGGGTGTCTCATAGGTTAAGCGTCCAGCTTCAGCTCAGGTCATGATCTCACAGTTCATGGGTTGAAGCCTCGTGTTGGGCTCTGTGCTGACAGCTCAGAGCCTAGTACCTGCTTTGGATTCTGTGTCTCCCTCTCTCTCTCTCTCTGCTCCTCCCCTGCTTGCACTCTCTCTCTCTCTCAAAAAT